GGTACATGGAGGCTAGAGCATTTGACAGGGTAATAGTTACGGTTTAGGCTACAATGAGAGGATCTCCCTAAATTGGGGATAAGGGCCTCCACTCACCCTTTGTTTTTGCGCCTCCTTAAGGATTTAGAAACGAGTTGTATGATTCCGGCATTGAGGCATTCCTGTATCGGTAGCTTTGAGTCTTCTCTCTTATATAGGATCTCTTCCTTTGTAATTGCACTTTTAAATAATATTCGTTCCGCCGTATTCTTGATTAGTGGTATGTCTGAACATGTCCCTGCATTCTCATATTTTTAATGTTTAAAGTTACGTATTTTATTTAGGTTTGATCTTTTCGGCATAAATTTGCATGCATGTTTTCAGTGACGAAGCAAGGAATTGTCAGGGGGAGCGAGGGGCGAAATTTAAAAGGTTTAAAGTCCCGAAAATATGTGGACATCCATTCAAGGTCTAAGTCCAAGGTTTGCAAGGAAATTATGTGAACTACCCAGAATATTTGTAGGAGAATTTGCATTAACTGAAATACTCGAAGGAGGATTTGGACATGGCCTAACGCTTAGGCGAGGACTTAGGCGGACTAGGTGGATTTGAATAAATTTATTATGTATCGTATAAATAAATGTCTATTTATTAGATAACATATAATATCTAAAAACATTGACTATAAAACATATAATATATAAAAATATTGACAAATTTTCTTTATTACTTTGTTCTATTTGATGATTGGAGATAAAAATTCAAAATGATTACAAGTTCATAATACTTTACAAAATATTCTTAAGTTTGTATGAATTTGTAGTGAATTTGAAGATAAATAATAGTGTCAATAAAGTGGCTACAAAAATATTGAAAAAGTGGACAAATTAATCAAACAATAATTAAAAAACAAAACAAATCTCAAATATAAACCAGCACATTAAATAGCTAGCTATGTGGACCATACTGATTGGTTACAATAGTTTAAAAAACAAATCAAAGTAGGTAATTTTGAAAGGAAAACTAATGAAAATGACTTGAAAACTTTGAGTTTTAATCAAAATGACAAAAAGGTGTTGTAAGTGAATAGTACTTGTGACATCCCATATCGCCTAGGGGAGTGATCCTTATATGTATATTCTCATCCCTACCTAGGACAAGGCCTTTTGGGAGCTTACTGGTTTCGGGTTCCATAGGAACTCCGAAGTTAAGCGAGAAGGGGGCTAGAGCAATCTCATGATGGGTGTCCCACTGGGAAGTTGCTCGTGAGTTCCCAAAAACAAAACCATGAGGGAATGGTAAGCCCAAAGCGGACAATATCGTGCTACAGTGGTGGAGAGCCCGGGAAGTGATCCGCCCCGGGTCAGGATGTGACAATTTGGTATCAAAGCCTAACCCTGGTCGCGTGTGTGCCAACGAGGACGTCAGGCCCTTAAGGGGGGGTGGATTGTGACATCCCACATCGCCCAGGGAAGTGATCCTTATATGTATATTCTCATCCCTACCTAGCACGAGGCCTTTTGGGAGCTCACTGGCTTCGAGTTCCGTAGGAACTTCGAAGTTAAGCAAGAAGGGAGGCTAGAGCAATCCCATGATGGGTGACCCACTGGGAAGTTGCTCATGAGTTCCCAAAAATAAAACTGTGAGGGAATGGTAAGCCCAAAGTGGACAATATCGTGCTATGGTGGTGGAGCGGGCCCGGGAAGTGATCCGCCCTAGGCCGGGATGTGACAGTACTAGGAGTGACTTTTTAGAGTAAAAGTGTCATTAACGTTAAAAGTGAATAGTACCAGGAATGTTTCATTAAAGCTTCCGATTTTGAAATGGCACGTGGGGTGAGGTGGGGTGAGATGGGTGAGAGAGAAAGTCTCTCTTCTTCCTCTCTCTTCTTCTTCGTTACTTTTCAGAAGTTGCAAAATGCAAGGCCTGGGTATTTTGAAAAAAAAAAGTGTCTGCATGCACGGAAACCTAGAACACCAGAAAATCATAGGGGCGGAACCACGGTGCTGGTCTTGATTTCCGGCGAGGGTAGGGGTGGCCGTCCCTCCTTGCCCCTACGTAGCTTCGCCCATGCATGTTTTGCATGCTGTTTGCATATGCATGTTAGGATGGCTTTCGTCACCCTCAGGTGTCGGCTAGCAAGTGCCAATTCTGATGTCCAGATGACATTAGGACCGGGACGTGTTATCCTTTTAAGACAATGGTTTTATGCTATTTTACATCGTTGATGGGCTAAAGAGTGAGACCCATTTATATGGTACAACAATTATTAAAGTTTTAATTTTTAATTTTTAGGACATCTTCAATATGCACAAAAAGACTTTAGACTCAAGTCTTAAAAATTAAAATACTATAATTGTTTAAGATTGTAAGTCTTTGCATTGGTGAAGAAATCCTAAAAAAAAAAAAAAACTCAACCTCACCACCATAACTTTTTAAACTTAAGCACAAGAATATAAGTCCTGCATTAACTGGAGCTGGACCTTACTTTTTTTTTCTTAGCTATTTTGTTAGTATAGATAGTATAGAATTCCAGATAGAGAATTTCTAAGCGTTACATTGCAGTACATAATATTCCGAATTTGTTTAATAGTTTGTGTTCGAGAATTTTGACCTGGTGTTAAGAGAGCAGACAATCCATCCATGTGTTAGGCAACACCTTGCATGATGCTCAAACTCTATGAATTCTGGTGATTTATGACATTTAATTAATGGCTAAAACTGGTTGAAAATTTAAACGAACTCCACACAGATTCTCCCCTTTTTTATTTTTTATTTTATTTTAGTGAGCTGGATGTGCAATACCGGGACAAACGCCAAAGGTTACAAAGAAAGTCCGTACAAAGGAGTAACCAATGAGAAAAACCGACAATTCCTACAAAGAAAAAACTGTAAAGGGAATACCAGGCTCGTCTCTGAGATTTTAGGGGTTCTGTGCGAAATTTGTAAAAGGGGTCCTTCTTAAGATAGTTTTAAGTTTCAAAAAAGTATAACAATATATTGATACTAGAAAACATTCAGTTGAATTAAAACAAAGTCACTTAGTACTATGGTCTAGTGATATTATTCTTCACTTGTAAATGAGACGCCTTATGTTAAATTCTCTCCAAAGGCGAATTTGAACCACATTATTGTTAGCTCATTATCAAGCTTAGCCCACTTCATCACTCTCTTAGCGTAGATAATATCGTTTGTTCAAAAAAAAAAAAAAATCAAAACAAACTTTAGCACTCATTGATTGCATATTTACAAATGTCTTTAATGATAAGTAAAAAGAGCTACAAACATAACATTCACTAAATTAGCAAAAGCAGTTTTATCTTAAACAGCCAAACATGAAAAAAGAAAACATCAAACCTCTAACTTTAAAGTTTCACTTGAATGTATAACGTTGTTATATAATAAAATTAAGAAACTGCCGCTTTTCACGGTGTTATTATTGACACTCAAAATATCTCATTGTACTCCAAGTTTTTATATTTAGAAAGGAAAAAAAAAAACTTTTATAAGGAGTGCACAATGCAATTTAAAGTGCTAATAAAAACAATTTTTTTAAACATAAAACATTATTACATGATGCTAGATGGCAAAAATTTAAAGGTCCCTTCAAATTTAAGGCCCTGTGCGACCGCACATTTCGCTCTCCCTCAACACCCCCTCTGAGGTATACAAGGAGATAGACGCCGCAGCTGCAACGTAGGTTGTCTCCCTCATAGATACCCTAAAAAACCTTAAATAATAAGAAAGCAAAGCAAGCCGTCCTTGTTGACGAGAGATTTTTCAGTGTAACCGGTACAAGGGGTGGTACACTACGTGTTATTATACAAATGGTGGGATATGTGTGCTAAAAAGTTAATAACTTAAAAAGTAAAATTTCTCATCACTCCTATTAAAACACGTGGTGTACCACTTGTGTTCTCGTCATAACTAAAAATTATATGCATAAGCAAAGATGGGGTCTGTTCACCAAGATATTTTTGTAAAATCTACTTTACACTCCACTCCAGCTCCTAACTATGAATTCACCTCAGTAGCATTTTATCCAAATCTTTCAATTCCTAGACAATCTTACTAACTCTTTTTTTTTCTTTTGGTAGGAAATCAATGCAACAACCCTCTAGGGAACAGTTTTGGCTCATCACTCGTGTTAGTGGCTGTTTTTAATACAAACGATATGTGGGAAGGGAAATCGAACACAACATGTTGATTCGCAAGTTATGCTACTTTTCTAGGGTAATATATGTTTGTCTTCTTTGTATTCAAGTTCAAATCACTCCCTTGTTTATTTCTAAAAAATTACTTTCTCGTTAAATTAGTATATTTCTAAAGAAAATATTATATTTCAAAGTAAAAAACTATGAAAATGTTGTGAAACTAATTTTAAAAGTGGGTAAGAGAGGGAGGAGACAACAGAGCTAAAGAAGGACTTAGGTGTATGAAGATAAACTTTCAAGGGCAAAATTAAGCGAAGCACACCCCACTAAATTTGAACTTTTTCTATTTACTCTCTAAACTTTCAATTTGGTTTTGAGGATAAACATTTTGTTAGTTCCAATATTTAATCACAACTGTTGATTTTTTGTGACAATATTTTCGTTAATTCCATCACATGTAATGCATATGGTTAACTTTTAGGGTGTATATGTGAACATAATGTTAGTACATACTTGAACTTCTTAAGACGAATCGAAACTTAACATGCATGCAACAAATTTAAGGGTTTTACGTGTACAAAATGAAGAAAAATAACTTTTAATTTGACAAAATATTTGATAAAGCTAACATGCGGTGAGACATTGGCATGAAATTAAAAGTTTAGAAGAAAAAGGTGCAGCAAACAAAAACGTTGTGGGTCAAAGACATAATTACATGAAATATAAGATAAAAATTAGCGAATAACAAAAGATGACAAGGACTTACCTACAAAATTTCTCGATATCATTCGAATTTTCGGACCGTTGTGGCCCGTTGGCCGACAAGGTAACCGTTGAGATTCAAAAACAACATCAAAAGAAAAACTCCCACTTCGCCTTGCCCAATCCTCAATCCAATACCCCACAAACATCTTTTGCTTCAAATCAGAAAACAGAGAGACAGAGAAATTGCAGAGAGAGAGAGAGAGGGGGAGAGAGAGAGCCCCACTCGTCAATGGGCTGCGCTTCATCGAAACTGTTCAAGAAAGAAGATAACAATGGCGGCGGTGAATACGTCATCAACCACGTCGTCTCTCTCACTTCCAGCACTTACGGCGTTCTGAACCTCGAAAACGGCCAACAACCCATCAAAGACGGCGTTGCGGAGAGCAAGAGGGCCGCGATGAAATCTTCGCCGCCCCGGGAAGATCCGGAGGTTATCAACGCCTGGGAACTCATGGAGGGGCTCGAAGAAGGAATACCCATCTCGAATCCGACGAAGAAGAGCCCGAAATCGGGTGCGCTACTTCGGGGGTTTGCAGATTTCGGTTCGAGGACCCCGTTCAAGTTGTTGAGTCAGATCGGGTCGCCGATGAAATCGAAGCGATTTGGAGGGAAGGAGAATAATAAAGAGAGAGTGGTGAATGTTAATGTGTTGGGTTATAGCCCGAAACAGGTTCTGAAACCGAACAATGGCGGCGAAAATTCGTGTAAGAAGATGTTGAATTGGAGCCCTGGAGTAAAAGGGTCGCCCGTTGCGGCGAAAAGGCAGAGCTTTGGCAGTGATTTATCGCGACGGAGGAGTTTAAGTCCCCTGTTTGATCCGGAACTCGTTGCATCTTACGAGAAGGAAATGTCTGAGGAGGAAGAGCACATCAAGAGGATGGTTCCACCGTCACCAAGGCCCCGTAAATTAAGAAATTCTTCGAAGGATTCGGAGTCTATGCTGCAATTATTTGAGAAAAAATGCCCACCGGGCGGCGAGAATGCAGTTGTTGTGTACACCACTACACTGAGAGGAATTAGGAAGACTTTTGAGGATTGCAACAATTTGAGGTCCATCGTGGAGTCACACCTAGTTCATGTTCTCGAGCGTGATATATCGATGGATTCTGGTTTTAAGGAGGAGATAAGGAGGCTAATGGGGACCAAGGAGGTTAAAGTTCCACTTGTATTTGTGAAGGGGAGGCTGATTGGCGGCGCCGACGAGGTGGTGAAGTTGGAGGAGGAAGGTAAGCTTGGGATTCTGTTTGATGGGATTCCGAGGGCGGTCATCGGATGCCAAGGCTGTGCCGGAATGAGATTTGTGATGTGCATGGTTTGCAATGGGAGCTGCAAAGTTTTGGATAAGGTGCAAAAGAAGATGGTGAAATGCGGCGAGTGCAATGAGAACGGTTTGATTCACTGTCCACTTTGTTGCAGCTAATTGTAATTCCACTGACAGATTTTGGTTTTTGGGTTTTCGGGTTTATGAAATCTTTGGTATTCTGCCGGCAGAACGAAGATTTTTGTTTTGAGTAGTGGGATTCTAAAGTGTGTTTTAGGCCCCTTTTGCTGCTGGGTTTGTACTTAAAGATTTTTTTTAACTTAAAAGACTGATGTGATTTTTCACACGCTCGTTTTAGAAGTTGATATCCTGCTTTGTAAGTTTACTTCTTCTTTTTGTTAATTTATGATAAATTGCATGAATTATGTATAGCTTCCAGTTTTGCAAGTTGAAATCCTGCGGTGTTGGATTTTTCGGGTTGAAATCCTGCGGTCTTGGAGTGATGAATTCAGTCGTCATGGAGTCCAATTCTCCTAAAAAATATATGAATTCGTTAATCCTTATTCCATAACAAGGTTTAGGAGAATTGGACTCTTGACATGATTGAATCCATCCTTCAAGTTATGCTGCCATAGACGAGAACCGAAAATCTACTTGGATAGAAATTAACCCTGTAACTTGCCTTTTTTCACACCACTAGAAAAATCCGACACCTCAGGCTCCTCTACTACATCAACATTCGGAGGAGAATCCACGGAAACTTTGAATATCTGTAGGTCCTTTCGTCTGCCCTTGAAGGTCACCGTTAGATAAAATGACAAATGTCCGCTCATAGCTCCAATGCCGATGAACGGGTAGTTAAGAAAGTATGGAGGAACAGGTACATGACTGCAAGGTATAGGCTTCCCAGTAAGTGCTTCGAGTTGGGGCTTAGAATGGTAATGGGAGCACAAAAAATGCACGCAGCTAGGTCGTCCAGGTCAAAATCGTACACTAAGCCGGGATTGAATGCGTGATCAGGATTTCAAGTGCTCAATCCCATGTCATAGGGTGCTGATTCAGTTTTACCAGACCGAACGCGAATGGTATTTCCGTTGTTGTCCTTGGTGTTTGCTGCATAAGAATCGAAAATTGATAACTTGTTAGACAACCGCTAGACAAGTAGACCGCAAACGTTTGATTTGTTTGGAAATTGGCCAATAACTTTATCAAGGGAACGAACTTAAACTGTTTGTCATTAAGACCGACATTATTTCTGCAGGACTCGAATGCACACGCCATTGAAGCTCCTGTTGAGCTTTGAGAACTGCTGCAACCCCCGCGACATGAGAAAATGCCATTGAAGCACCTGTTGAGCTTTTAGAACTGCTGCAACCCCCGCGACATGAGAACACGCCATTGAAGTACCCGAGTGCACAATGTACGAAAGGTGCATCGACCGCTTGATTTTTACATATGAACCTAAGAAACGTGAAAAATAATTAAATTGCGGACCTTATGATTAAATTCAGATCCATGAACTGCATGTGACCCTTTACCACAACAGTAGTGGAAATGTGTTGAGCCCTTGCATGACGACGTGGGTTCAAACTCCGTCAGTAGTTAATTTAACAAAATCTATCGTTTGACTCAAAAAAAAGAAAAAAAAAATTCAGATCCATGAACTGAAGAAGCTAAGTGGTAGATCCATTAGGCAGCGGTACTACGTGATAAAAAAAAAATGATTTTTGACTTTCATGAATTATGATTTTATAGTGTGGAGTGAGAAAAATAAAACAAGCGGCATTCAACGTCATTAATCACACGTCATTATCAGTCTAGTGACGTAAATTAGAAGTGATTTATTATCTAGCTTAATTAAAATTTTCGAAGTACGATTTTCTTCCTTCCAAATCCTCTCGCTTTCCTTCCCCTTCTCTTTCACTTTTCTCTTCGTCTTTCTCTCTATAAACAACAGTTAACATAAAATATCGACATAATTTAATCATGACTGTTCAAATAGAAGTTAAAAATTTAGGAAAAGAATCCTGCTCCCAAATTTTTACTTCCCATCGGTTATATTTCTGCATGAAAAACGGTTGTAGTCAGTTTGTTGTGTAGTAAACTAATTCTGACAGTCAACAGCACCCGGACAAAAATGAACCGCACACGCACGCAAACAGTAACACGGCGTCCGGTTCCAGTGATTACACTGCAGTTTCATTCACCTACAAACCCCTCCAAGTTAACTCACGAGCTATAACCATTAGAAAACTGCCACATAATATATTTTTTAAAAAAATTTCATCTTTTCACCTGCTTATTCGCTGTATTCTCTGTAAAGTTGTGGAGACGCATGCACTTGATTTGGTTTGACCGACCAGCTCACACGTGTTGTTTTCTTTGCAAGTAGTGACGGGAGTGATAATATAACACCTCCGTCTCTCCTCCCTCAAACTCTCTCTCTCTCTCTCTCTCTCTCTCTCTAAACAGCAGTGCAATTGGGTTCGCCATGGCCGGAAGAAAGAGGAAGCTGAAATCGTAAGATTTGTTTTCTCAATTCTCTTTTACTCACTGAAAGCATTTCGTAATTTGCATGTTTCATTTCATTGTTTTTTCACCCTGGATTTGGGGAATGGGTGTGAGGACTTTAGGAATTTGGATCAATTTAGGGGTTATGATTGAAAAGCAATTATTTTTAAGTCAAGGATTAGGTTTAATTGTCGAGAATTGAAGTCAATTGTGAGAATTTTGATGGGGTTTTGGGGGAAGGGTTTTTGTGTGTGGCTAAAGTTTGTGAATTTAGGGTTTTGGAGAAATTTGGGTTTTATAGTAGAAAGTCAATAAGCTCTTTGGATAGGAATTGGTTTGAATTTGTTTAAAATTGGATTCAAGCATCAAAATTGAAAATTTCGACCGGGTTGTTAAATGGGTTAAAAGTTAGAACCCTAGCCATTGCTAGATCATAGTGTCTTTTAGGAATGTAGTACTATCAAGAAATAAAGGGTAGGCTTTAGTTGTGGAAAAATGTTAAATTGGATGAATTCGGAGCAATCTCATGGTTTTCGGTTTCATGTTGTGCTCATTTTAAATTTTTGATAACTTTGGGCATCCAAGGTAAGGGTTTTTAATGGTTCTTGTGTGATCATAGTTTCCTTTCTATATGAGCACATTATGTCTTAGGTTCATTAATTGCTTGTTTGCCTATCTTGCTTAAGCAAAAGTACCAGTACGATCTTGTACGTTACCCAAAAAGAATAGGGTAAAGAATATGATAGTTGATTAGTTACAACCAGGTTTATCTCTTGTTCGGTTGTGGTTATTGTGTGTTTAATTGTTGGATTTGCACGATCCGTACATACCTGGGAAAAAAAGTGATGGTTAGTTACAACCAGGTTGTTTCTCTTTGTTGGGTGTGGTGATTGTGTGTTTAATTGTCGAATTCACACGATCCGTACGTTATCCGAAAACAATGTGATCGTTGATTAGTTACGACCAGGTTTTTGTCTTGTATGATGTGGGGATTGTGTTTAGTTGTCGGATTCGTATGTTACCAGTAAATGAATATGGTAGTTGATTAGTTACAACCAGGTTTTTCTCTTGTCGTTTGTGGGGATTTGTTTTATTTGTTGGATTCGTATGTTACCTGGAAATGAATATGATAGTTTTGACAAGAATCGATACCGGTGGGAATGAATATGATAGTTGATTAGTTACAATCACATTTTTCTCTTGTTGGTTGTGGGGGCCTGTACAACTATTGATTTCTTTTGTGTTTCTTGGTAGTAGTTTTAACCATAATCATATGTTATCGAAACGGTCCGATTTTTAGTATATCCGAAATGGCTTATACTCTTTTGTTTTGGGGTGGGTGTGAATGTGGTGTGTGGCTGTTTGGACGAGTTAGGGGGAAGGGTTCTGTTTCGCATTTGGTTTGGCGGTTATATGCCAAAGAATTTGGATTAATAATAGAATGTTGATTTATTGCTAGCTGTGTCTTACTTTTATGGAAGTAATTATTTTTCCTTATAGCGTCTTAGCTCATATCTGTGTTTCGTATAACTTATATGAATTTATGATGTATAGGTTAGCTGAAACAATTACAAATAGTAATAGAAAAGCAAGCAAGACAAAAAAGGAGAAACTGGACCTGCAAACTTGGTCTGACCTTCCTGCCGAACTTTTGGAACTCATTGTGTCTACTTTAACTCTGCGGGATAACATTCGTGTATCTGTTGTATGCAAGAGATGGCACTCAGCTGCCATTTCTGTGCGGGTGGTCAACCAATCACCACTGCTTATGTACTTTCCCAGATTTGGTGACCTATATGAATTCTATGATCCATCGCAGCGCAAAATCTACTCCTTGGAGTTACCTGAGCTGACTGGGTCTAGGATTTGCTACACTAAAGACGGTTGGCTACTGTTATACAGACCCAGATCTCACCGCGTGTTCTTCTTTAATCCCTTCACTCGCAAGATAATAAAGGTACCAAGATTTGAGTTGACTTATCAGATAGTTGCATTCTCTTGTGCCCCAACTTCTGCCAGTTGCATACTCTTTACGGTGAAACACATCAGCCCTACAGTTGTTGCTATTAGCACTTGTCGTCCTGGGGAAAGAGAGTGGACTACTGTTAATTTCCAAAACCGGTTGCCCTTTGTGAGTAGCATTTGGAACAAGCTTGTTTTCTGCAACGGACTCTTTTATTGTCTGAGCCTCACCGGTTGGCTAGGAGTATTCAACCCTGAAGAACGCACTTGGAGTGTTCTTGCCGTTCCTCCACCCAAGTGCCCGGAGAACTTTTTTGCCAAAAATTGGTGGAAAGGTAAGTTTATGGCTGAGCATGAGGGAAACATATTAGTTATATATACATGTTCAAGTGAAAACCCGATTATATTTAAGCTGGATCAGACAAACATGGTTTGGGAAGAAATGATGACCCTCGACGGTCTGACACTGTTTGCGAGTTTCTTGTCATCTCATTCAAGAATTGACCTCCCTGGAATAATGAGAAACAGTGTCTACTTCTCAAAAGTTCGTTTCTACGGAAGATGTTGCATATCCTACTCTCTCGACTCTTGTAGATACCATCCTCGCAAGGAGTGTCATGACTGGGGAGAGCAAGATCCTTTTAAGAAGATTTGGATTGAAGCGCCTCAAGACTTCTCAACCTTAAATTGGTGAAAGTTGTAGCAAGTAATTCGCGTCTGCGCGATCAATTGGATGTTGTGCTATAGATAGTTTATGTGTAACAAGTTGCTCAAGGGGTCAATTATACTCCTTTAAGAACTCATTCAAATCTGAACTGTTTCTTTCTTTCGGTGCAAGTTACATGAACATTTTCAGACAATATGTACAAATGCTTCATTTTCTAGGTTCTTA